CAAGTGATAAAAATTCCGTGAGGAATCTCACGGCTCGATTACGTGACCAGTGGTACGAACTCGCCTGATTTACTTCTCGGAATACGCAACCTCTTGCAAACTGCAAAACTGAAACGTCACACGTGCACCGGCGAAATTACAACGTTAAATCAGCAAATGACGGCTCATCCCGCCGAGAAAAAAAATAGCGGAGAAAATGGAAAATTAATTGCGAAGATTGTTGTGCACAGCGCGTATAGTAATAGGGCAATAGTTGCAACGATGATAGGAGAAACTTGAGATTTGAACCGTCCGACATTAGGCTGTTGGAAAAAAACTGTACGCTTTATTTCTCGTAGAGTATAAATAGAGGAATACGACATTAGAGATACCAATATTCGCGAACACAGTGTGATTTATTAGGTTACATTATACATTTAGACGGCGGCAGGCAGCCAGCCAAAAGAATATTATACACGCTTATTTTCAATGGAAAATATCCTCGGTACGGGTTACCAACCTCCAAGATGTCATCTTTGACAAAAATATAAATTAAACTTCTGGCAGAATGAAGATCACAGGAGGAAAAAAGTTGACGAGTCACGTTTTGTAATTTTCTTTTTTTTTTCTTTTTTTTTTTTCGAACCAGACCTGTTCTAAATTTGAAGCTTACCTACTAAACGACACGACGAAATTTAAAATACTTTTTCCCGAACATTTTTAATTGTTACATGAACATCGATCAAGTTGTAAAATCGTCGCATAATAGGGAAAAAAAAAAAAAAAATCAAAATTTTCCTCCCGAAACAAGTTTAAATATTATTACAGACAATTTTGTGTCGATTGCAAATCGAAAACGTGTAAATTTAAATTTCTCGAATCGTGGAAAAAATCTAAAGATCAGAGGGGCGTAATGAACGGTAGAAAAATTATGGGGATAAATCTCGAGATGGACTAATCTGTTCGAGTTATTTGTCGGTGAAAGGGTTAAGATGGATTCCTGGAAGGATATATGTATTAACATCCCGAGGACATTTGTCTTCCATCACGAAGAAGAAATATGCGCGAACCGTTCCACTAAATCATCCTAACTAATTGGTTGCAAGAAACGTCCTTTCGAGATTTTGGGCGGTAAGACGCGGGGTGCACAAGGGTGCGGAACGTGACGAAATGGCATTAATTAGCTTTGCACGCATGGAGCCGGAATGACGCAGCGTTATTCGAGTCGCAAAAGCATTTTGGCATTTGTCAGGGACCCTTCTCGTGTGTCTTGTTAAAGGTGTCCCGTGTTCACTTTTGCTGAGGACTGATACGGACATGTGACATCCCCGCGCGTAACTCTATTCAGCCGAATCGCCAGCTGGAACACCGAGCGATTATATTACCCAAGGTCGATCAAATCGATTACGAATCAAATATAAATCGTTAGCACGCGAGCACGCGGCCTTGTCCACCACGGTTCAATGCCAACCAACCCGATCGAGTTTTCCATCCGCTTCTGACCATGTTTCCAAAATGACGAGAGAGATTACGGATGATCGTACGCCTAATGAGAGTTTAATGAATCAACGTGGAAAATTTTTGTGGAAAATTGAACGTTCAGCACTCGCTTTACTCGATTCGATTTAATCTTGGATTAAAGAATTTTCCTTTTCAAACTCGATCTTTTACTAGGAAATTTCGACCAAAAAAAGCCTTGCTGCGTTAAGATTATTTATAAATTCGAACGAGATCCCATTTATCATTGACAACGTTTCGTCGATTGGTTTCTTGAGGATAATGTGAAAAAATATCTTGAACATTTGAAATTGGTTTGTAAAATGTACGCATTCGTCCAATAAAAACCATTCAAATTTTCAAATTTTCCAACTTTGGAATCGGTCCTCTCCAATTATGAACATCACGCTGTTTCCACGAGTTTAATATTGGAATATTCCCAAGTTTAATCGAGATGTGTCCTTCCAAAGTCGCAACATTGAATTCCACGTGTTTCTGGAAAACACGTAATCAGCCCTGCGATCACGAAATTCGATATCGAAGCGCGGAGTTTCGAGTATTGTAAAAATATGCGCTCACCGAATTTCTTACGTCTTACGTTACGCGAATGATGCAACCCATCGTTGACATAGAGAAACCACCGAAAGAGGAACAGAACATTGCATCATATATCAAGCCGTTTTATCACGAGTCTCGCGCCTTATCCCACGCGAGCTAGGATTTCCTATCTGCAAATGTCGCTTTTGCGGATCTTTCTTACGCGCTTCGTGCTTTTCTTTTTCCTATCGTCGCAATTACGATTCTATCAATCGCATCCAGAGAAGCGATTAAACTGCGAATACATCGATCGTGGAAGAGATCGGGTTATTTTCACTTGTCGCTTGCTCAATTTTTTTTTTTTTATTCGTGTGTTTTGATCCTTTTATTTCCTCCTCGGATGGAATAAAGGATAAAGGAACTTCGTCACGAGTTATGAGTCATCTAAAATTTTTTCTTTGAGTAGAGAGATGCCTAGACGAGCCCAAAATAAAAAGGCCCAAACTGGATGCGTTCTCTCGCACGATTCATCATAGACCTTTGACTATTAGCATTGGCAACTTATGATTTATGATTCGTCAAATTTCACTATCGATCAATTCTTTAAGGAATGGAAAGGATTTAGAATTTCAAATTATAATAGGCGAATCATATATTCATCTATGTGTTCGTCGATTATTTATTGATTCTCATTATATGATTCGATTATCCAACCGATCTAAACTATTCATCCGACCGATAAACCCGATCGAAAGATTTACCTGTGATTATTTTTAACAAATAAAATAATATTCTGATAAATCGAAACACCAAGTCGTTCGTATAAACAATATTCATTATTCATTATTTTTAACATTAGGTTCGAAATGGATACATTTAATTCATCTTTTAGATTACATAGAAACTTGTTGCTCTGTTTACAAATGTTTATATAATTGTGATGATGACATGTGAAATAATCGAATGAATTTTGAAATTTTTTCGTCGTAAAAATTCCATTGCGTTTAGAAAATTAATTAAATTAAATCCTAAAAAATCGAATCTACTGATTTAAATCACGACATTGAATTGACAAGATCCGATAATTGCACTATACTCGGAAAATTAATTAAAAAATCCGACATAAACCGATCGATAATTAAGATAGGAATTATATTCAGAAAACGAATCGAAAAATCTTCCAACTGTGAAAACGATATCGAACAAGAAAAGAAATCGATTGCAACTCCGCGTCTCATTGACACGAGAATCCCGTGAAGGAAACACGAGATTCGTTCGCTTCGATGTCCAATGCGAAATCGACGGTGCGATCGGAGCAAGTCAATGAGGCACGATAGATGGTGTCCTCCGCACATGATGCGACCAAGCGTCACGTTTAAAGCCGTGTGCCATTGGTCGAGATGCTGACAAGCCCCCGTCAAGCCTCTGCACTTCTGACTCACGTGCGTTTATCTGTCGTCGAACTAAAATGCCCGTGCCGAATAAACAACGCTATCGTCGATCGGTGTGCTTCGATCATCGTGAAGCCACGTCCGACATGCTGATCAATAGGACTATCGTGCTCTCGAAGCCGATCGAAAGCGGTTCGAAGCGGTTTCATCGCGGGGATTTTCAATCGTGGAATTATTAAAAATGACCGTGACTCATATTCGAGAGATGGAATCAATGGGAAATAAGAGGAAACTTTTTTAAATCGGAGATCAATGATTCGAGAAATTCGATTTCGTACAGGAAATTTATCTTGAGAGTTGTCTCGTAATTATAAGCAAAGGAATATGCTTAATCTGGGGTTTTTTTTTTCTTCTTCCCTTTTTTGGAAATTTGTAATCGAAGAAAATATGATAAAACGTGATAAATTTGTTTCAATGATGGATTTAATTTTTTTCCCGATCGATGGAAAAGATCAAGGTTACATAATCGAGATTAGCCTCGAATCGTACGACTTTTCGTTTCACTAAATTCAATCCGACAGCGCGATGCGTTTGATCTTTTCTTTACGAGTACACAAATGATCTATCGACGTCATCATTTTTCTGGCTTGCAATCAGTGTTTGACTAATGCTTTGCAGTTTAAATGATTAATAGAAACGTACGTTGGAAAATATCTATATTGGAATGAACTAGATATAACTTAAATTCGATTTAACAAAATATTTCAAGTTTTTAAATAAAGTATAAATCTAATCTAAATGATATTAAAATTGAAAAAAAAAAACGAAAACTTAAAAATACTTAAAATAACGGAATACCATGATATATTTTATGATATAATTTCGTATAGTCAGTGAGTAATAAGTTGGTTCAGGTAACAATAAACTCTAAACGATAACCGAAAGCTAAGAACAAGCAAAATATTTTTGCAACGTGACATTCGACTACATGATCGAATCGTTACAACCATTCAGTGAATATGATCCAATAATTCCACAGACATAACAATAAAACGATTTATAATAAAAATTGGCACAACAAGTGTTGACGTAGAAAATTTGTTTACTCAATAGAAAAATAGACCGAGAAATATCGGAAAACAAGTGAAATCGCGAAACCGATCAGAAAAAGTGTCTCACAAATCTCTTCCTAATTCCAGATCCATTAAATCCGACCGACTAGCAAGGATTTAAACTTCACTTTCCACTTAATCCAACTGAAAATAATTTCCGAAACAGAAGAGAGAGTAACATCCCTTCGATTTATCAAATTTTTCAAAATAAAAATCACAAGGAATTTTCTTTCCCAACAATCTCGCACATATGGAAAATCTCCAACTTACGAACTTTCATCGATCGGCATAATCATGAATATCCATCTTTCCACCATTGTCATGTATGCAACGCAAGCACAGCGTGTTCTTTTTTCCTCGAAATTGATCAACTGGTAGCTCGAAATTAACCCCATGAAACGATCTTCGAATCGACCGACGAAACAGAAGAAACGCGAACCCCCACTCCGCCAACTCAGCCTATATAAACCCGCGGCATCTCGCAAGTCTCTTCATTCTATACGAGGCGACAGTCTATGTGTACGGTCAGTAGTATCGCGGGTTTGGTACACAACTATCACTGAACGAACAACCAGAGATAGCACGCGTGTATTTTATTAGAATTACGGGAAAATCGGCAAACTCTAGGAAACGCGAATAAAATCGCTTCACGAGAACGACCAGCGTTCCTCGAGCCAACCACAGCCGCGAACCATAACCACATCCTTTGCTATCTAGTAGTTTGAATCAAGAATCAGTGCGCGGGTCTATCCCGCGTCGAAGTTCGTTTCTCAGAAGATTTATTGCCTAATTCTCGAGAATAGCAGACGTTTCTATTGGGAATTGAAATTGGGAAGGAAAAACGAAAAGGATCTATCAACAGGAAGAAATTTGACACCATCTTCGTTCGTCTTATCAGGCGATAGCCTTCACGTGCTTCGTTTTTTGGAAGAAGAATTGATTATCTACACGACAGGATGAAGCTAGTATTCTTAGTGACTTTGCTGGCGGTTCTGTACACCGTCCAATATTCCAATAGTGCGGCAGTCAGATCGGAGGTAAGATATATATATATCAACTGTTTATCATAATCGACACACTTGTTGAAATAAAAATTGATGATCGAGTTGACTTTTTTTTTGATCGAATTTGCATGAATAACTTGGTTTTTTTTTTTTTTTGTATTTCTGATCTGAGCACGAAGAATTCGTATTATATTGAAGAAATTTTACTAATACGTGATATTTGAATCCCGTTTGGGATTTGAAATAATTTCACGTGTACAAGATTTGAATTTATAATAAAATTATAAGAGAAAAATAGGAAATATAATAACAAGAAGGGATTTTATTTAATAAATTCTTTCTAAAAATTAAAGAATACTAAGTCAACTTAAATTGCATGGTTTCTAAAATGATACAAAGTAACAGATATATTATCAAAATTTTGTAACTTATGTCATCAACGATATTTCAAATCGAATATATTATATCAGCCTTTAAAAAAATATATTCATATTTTATATATAAACTATGTAATATTATTGAAAATTTGTAAATCACGAATTTAGCGATACTATATCTTTACATTCATTAAATGGAACTTGAACATTATCGTATGCGATATGATTGCAATTCGTCCGATTCATGATTTCACACTTCAAATACATAACATAACGCGTACAAGACTCGACATTTTTTTTTTTTTTTTTCAAAATGCGAAATCGATAGCATTGATGATCTTATTGCGTCGATGATTTTATGCGTAATATGTAAAAGATAATCTTTAAAAAAATTTCAATAGCTTTCAAAATATTTCTAATGTGTACCAATTATTTTATCAAGTCTGATCTATCACAATATTCTATTCCCTAATCTTTGCGTGCAAAGCAAATATAAATTATTTTCTCCTTTTTTTTTTTTGGAATTTTTTGAAATTCAAAATTATGTCAATTATATTTCACTTATTCTTACAAATATAAATTATTTTTCTATTATGTGAAATATTTGTGAAATTTCTAACATTTAATACTATATTTCTCTAAATATATTTTTAACTGAATTTTATGCAAAAAAAAATAATATATATATATATATATAAAAATTTTTAATATTTGTTGTGTCATTTTTTTTCTTTTCAGGAATTTGCCGAACAATTACGCAGGATTGTTCATGAAATGCATCCCGATAACCTGAGAACGCAAAGAGCAACCGAAAGCGGAAATGACGACCGTCCGAAACGGAATTGTTATGATACACCCTGCGGATGGAATACATACAATCCTGTCACTCGGCGAAGCACGATTTTCATGCCGAATACGTAAGTTAGAATTATGCATGCATAATGATCAAAATAATTATGAGCACCACAGCATAAAGCAAATATTTTTATGAAAATTATATCTGAAATAATTATATATTTCTCTTTTAAATATTATTTTAATTTATCTTTGGATTAAATTTTTATATTTATATTTAAATATTATTATTATATATAAATATGTATTGTATGTAATACAATATGTATATGTATTTTTATTATTATGTAATTTAAATAGAATTACGTAATAATTTTACTTCTATTGCATTAATATATGATACATATGTATAATATTGTATAATTATATATAATTTTCATTAATATATTTGCTTATGTTATTTATATTTATAATTGTTTATTTAATATATTAATATATTTACCATTAAATATTTACAAAATATTACGATAAATTAAATTATCGAATTAATTAATCGTAAATAATTAGCATTTTTGGTCTATTATTTCTCGTAAATCAGCAAAAACTAACATACTGTAGATGTTAATTGATATCTTTCAATTTTCAAATATAGTTGAGTAAAAATATCAATTAGCATTTTTTACTTCCCAAATATTAATGATTGGAAATATCAAACAGCATCTTTCATTTTTCACATATTGATAGAAATCGATAAGCATATATTTCAAATAATAACAAATAATCATAAATGATAATCATAAATTATATTAATGACAAATCAAATTCATCATCATTGTTATTAAAATCATTATTTGATTAATAATTTTGAATTCCAATGATAAACGATTGATTCCTTGCATTTTACCTGCTTATTTATAATTTTGATAAAAACACATAAGCCTTCTGTTATGACATTCGATACTCGCTGAAATCTGATATTCGGAATGGACTTGGAAGTTCCATACTTATTGCCATTTTTCATTCGTTACTCGAGTTTCATGTAAAATCAAATATGTGATGATTTATTGTGAAAGTCGCTGTTTGAATATAAAAAATTCATACAATTAATCAAGACATTTTATAAGATCTTAATAATTAATCATGAATAATTATTCGAAAATGAATCATTGTGTTTTGCATAATTTCTAAAAATATCCAGGAACTCAATCTATTTTATATACCAATATATATTATCACGTCAACAATATATTAAGATTATATACTTATGAATGAACTAATATGTAATTTCTTCAAGATAAAAAGGAATGATAAATATTCTTTATCATTTGCCATAATGAATATTTAATCTATTTTGTTATTTTCTTGTATAAATAATAAATTATATACTTGTACAAATTATTATTCAAATTAATATCAAAATAAAATTTGGTAAATTAAAAACTTGACTTTTCTATATCTATATAATATAGATATTTTACAATAAATTGTTTTTTTTTTTTATGTATTAGATGCAAGTGTCCTGATGAAACGTATAAGTGTGTGCGCACTGGAGAAAATGTATCTATGAGTGCATACGTATATCACTGCCGTCAAAATACGACAGCGGATGACATCGAAGGCGAGACAGCCGAAGATATGGATTATCTTAGTTAAGAAACATGATAAACAAACATACCTGAATGACAAATGCCTTCTCAAACAACCGTGGTCATGGTGGTTATCACCGTCCTTGCTGTCTCATCATTGAACGAAGTGAATTTTCCGTTTTTCAAAAAAACACTTTGACACTCTGTTTAAATATTATGTCAACTATTACACTCGCGTACATAAATCTATAACAAAAAACATGTCACAATATCACAAATTATATATATTAAATAATTTTATGCGGCCTGTCTAAGTGCTATTAATATTTGAACGAACACTGCGGAAACGAAATCAAATATCGGTTCGATATTTAAAATCAAATATGGCCGCGATATAATTCGATATATTTCGATAATCGAAATTAGAGACAAGACAGAATATCGAAAATTTTTTATTCGAAATTTATTAAATTTAGAGCATAAATCAAGAATTAATTGATTGTATTTAAAGATTTTTAACGAATTATTAATATTTATAAATGAATAAGATGAAAATCGAAACAAATTATTTGAACGTATAATATGGGAATATTGGTCTACCAGCGTAAGAATATTAGAATAGATTTTGACTATAAAAAGTATTTATTTATATATATTCTTATATAAAAAGATTCCTGAGATTATTATTTACAATTTTTTCATAGCTTTAGCAAAAAAAGTGTTTTAAAATTATTAATTTTACCTTTAACTACACGAGACGAATGGGTCTTCGAATGATGCACCACCTATGACTGGTAACGAAAGACTGCGTACAAATTTCGCGCTGCTATTAAACAAGTCTCGTGTAGTGGCGCTATTTTCAAATTCGTTTAGTTTGTAAATTATTTCAATTTTCAATTTCGTTAAAAATCGATAAAAAAAAATTATGAATATCGCAGTGTCACGTTAATTTTAATGTAAATCGAGAGTAGAAACGGAAATTAAGTTACTATCGTTCGGAATATACAAGACGCACGGAATATGAAGCCGTAAGTTAATTGCAGTTTTTCTTCAAATTATTCACATAGAAAATTCATCATAAGGTAATTAAGCAATAACTAACATGCATCAATATTTTATGAATTTTAATCATAAGTTTCATTTTACTTTCTCTTGTTATGAAATAGAAGGAAGTATAAAATGAAATCTTTTCAGACCTGATTGATTTTATCAAACTAAATTATCACAAATAAATTCTACTTGTCTCATCAAAAGTATCTAAGTTGTTACTTAAATATTTCAAGAATGAATAAGAATCAGGTCTAAAAAGATTCGAGTTTGTATCAAACTTTAATAAGATTTGAAAATTTGTAATTTTATTCTTAAGCTATAGCTCGTTTATTACACTTGAAGTAAGCGAACTATCATTTAAAATTCGAATATTTATCTCAATCATTTTTTTTTTCGATTTTTCATAAAAATATTTTATTGCTAATATAAAATTTATTATTGAAATTTAGAACGAGAAATGTATCTTTCGTTTGAAAAAAAGACAAATGTAAAATTTTTTAATATTTCATTAATAATAATGATGCAATTGAAATATCATTCGACCTTCAAATACGAGTTAGCAATCGATTCTTACAATCGATGACAAACTTCGACGAATGATTCAATATATCGATTTATATTTGAATTTAAAAATATCAATTACATATAAAAATGAATTTATATTTTATCGAAGTTTATCAGCGATTAACATTTAATTATTCTTAAGTTAACATGCACCTTAAGAGTACTCAAGGTGGTGTAAAATTAGCAAGTATAGGTTACAGTATTTTGATAAGGCACGATTCACAATTTTGTACTTAACAGGGAAAATTGTTTTGAATCTTTTTTATATATCATTATCGATTATTTATAGCGTGCAATAGTAATATATAATTGATGGATGAAATACAGTAGTTTAATTTACAATCTAATTATATTTCTTTCATCAATTATAATTATCATTCATTCATTATAAATGCCATGTTCGAATTTTTATTCAAAGACCAAAGAGGTTCTTGCCCCAACAATTATTTTTCAACATATTTCACATTTTCATAGATATTACACCGTCTTGCAGTTGCTTTGCAACTATATTGATAGCACAAAACAGAGATGATAAATCATCTTATTCTTTGTTTCCAATTGCATTGCAGTAGATATACATGAAAAGATAAAACAGAAAAATAATTATATAGAACCACTTTTCTACACGTTTATAATATCAAAAATATTATAAAATTTGTTTCAAAATTTAAGAATTTAATAATATGTTAAATTTAATGTGTGCGTTTAATTATTTAGAAAATTTTTATTAGAAAAAATACTTAAACATTACTTAAATGAATTAATAGTTTAGAATATTTTTACTATTTCAAGAAAGCGTGTAGAAAATAGTACAGGCAATGTATTTGTATGCAGTATTTCACTTAATATTTAATACACAGGAAGATTATAAATTATCTATAATTGTACAATGATTATCAATGTTATCATTTTTAATAAAAATAAGTAATGTTGCTGGAAATATTATATTGTATCATTTTATATCCTCCTTTCACCTCATTTCTATCACTTACCTCAATTTTTAATTGTTAATAAATATAGGTGAATTAATTGCGAATTGTCCTGAAAATAATTTAATAAATCAAATAAAACAGCTATAATATTAATGATTTATTAATATTAATAATGATTTGTGCAAAATATATCAACATTAAATTATTATCTCGAGTAATAAAATTGCCTGTACATTCACTTTTGATACATGGACATACACTTTTAAAATTAGCAATTTCTCGATAAAATACACTATCATCATTCATCATCAATAGTCACAAGTAGTCGAGCATCGGAAGACCGCGTCTCTCTTTTCTTTGTTCATCTTTGATAAGATATACAGTTTAATGTACAATAGGGATGAGAGGGTGGGGGGCAGTATTATTGCATAACTGAGTAGTAGCACGGTGTATCTGTATATATATATATATATATATATATATATATACTAATGAATGTAAAGTGGCATTTTTTTGAAAATTAATCAGAAAAATAGAGACGTCAAGACTTCAATTAAATTTATATAATAAGGATAAAAATGTATTCAATTTATATATACATTATTATCCAATACTGATATCCATCAGTATTTTTTAAGTGTTATTTTTTACTTGAATGTCTTGAAAATCACAGAAAATCCATATAATGAAAGCCATTCATTTCTTTTTTTTTTTTGTATTGTTATAAAGATTCATATAGAAATTATGTGCTAATTTTTTTTTTCACCACGCACGAATTTCTAATTCCATCTAATTATTTATTTTTCCTTTTTTGTGAATGTTTCAAATAATGCAAATCTTAAACACTGTAATCAATATTAACAGTATAAAAAATAATTTATAAATGTTTAATGAGTTATAGTTTATATATCATGCGTAGACTTACAAAGTAAAAGAACTAATAAAAAGATATATATTTAATAATAACATAAAATAATATCAATAGCCATATATCTCGTGCGTGATGAGATAATGCCTTTCCCAATGAACACCGCACTCTAATGTTGTCAACAGCTTTGCACTGTACAGGAACACCGCCACATTTAAATATTTTACAGTTTTTATCGAATAGCCTAAAGATCAGGTAAAAAATAAGGCCTAGTTTTTTTTCATTTCATATGTGTATATACGTATATATGTCTTCAATCCACATATATACACATACATATATATATATACAAGCATGTATTTATTTATACATATAATTATATGTATTTAAGAGAATTTAAGAGAACAAAAATTCTAATCAATAAATTCTAATTATATTCGTAAGAAAAATAAGAGAAGTAAGTTATTAAAAACTTCGAATGAAAGATATTTTACATACATGTATATACAATTTATATCATTAAAAAAAAAAGTATACAATTTTGGCCAATTTATTATAACCCAATATTCTGTCACGTTTTAGTTATATATAAATAGAAAGTGTTTAAATAATAGAACATATGTAAATCGAAGTTTTAATAGATTTTTAATTACTAACAATATTTAATGTTTCAATTACAATCGTGTAAGTCTCTCTCTCTATAAAAATAAAATACTTAATAAAATAAAATTGACTGAATCTGCAATACGCTTATAAACGACAATTACATGACGATAGAATATTTTTTCTAAATCTTTTAAGATATTACATAAAGTATCAAAAGTTTTACCGTAACTTTACTCTCTTATGTAAAACCTTACCTGGAAAATCTATATCTAATAATTATATCGGAAAGTATTCGATTTTCGGAAATCGAAATAAACATTACGTTTAGATATCTTATATTACCTGATCACAAGCTTGATCTTTAATACAACTGGAAATATCGCTTGTTACAACTGTTTCTCTTTCTTCTAATATATTCGATTCGATAGTTTATTTAATATTTTAAATTGAAGAGACTCTTTACATTAAACTTTTAGATAAACAACAACAAATCAGCGATATTTCCATTTGCATCAGATTATTTATAACCTGTACAGTTAAAGAATCAAATTTAGTAAAAATTGAATGAATAAGTGTAGTACACAATGTAAAGATGATTCGTTATAGTCTTCGATACTTTCTTTTCTAATGACCATTTTTGCACCTTCTTCGTTCCCGATGAACTTCGTTGGCAAAATAAAACATGCGCCTTGTTGTACGTGCACGCAAAATAGTTCAAGAATCATCTTTAATTTTGCTTTGATAATTTTCTCTTAACTATTAATTTGTTTTAAACAGAAAATATGAATGTGAGATTACCGAAACGAGTTCTCAATAAAGAAATGATAAGAGAGATCTCTCGTGGTAAAGAAATGATAAAAGACATATGATTATACACAGGATTCTGTCAGAAGATCAGGTTGCAAACGTTCCACTCTATAACGATTGTATTGTCTGTAAGGTGATCTTGTTTGGTCATTGTCTGTGATCACTCGTGTCTTATGAGGAATTAAGTTTTCGTAACGTCCCATCAACCAATCTTGACATAATCGATGCTGAACGTCCGCGACGTTTTTAGATGCCCAAGATGCCAACCATTGATGGAATTTTGAATTCAAGTGTTTTGTCACAGCTGGATGACACTGTTGAAAAAGCAAATAAGTAATATCGCAAATATTGAAGATCGTTAATAAATAAAATATATATTTGAGCTTTAATTATATAAACATACCTCTCTGGCACGACTGAATGAATTTTGTTATATAGGAATGCTTCCTTACTAGCAATATAGAGCATTTGGTAACTATTAGGATTAAATCTGCATTGTGTTTCATCAGAATTGATGATATCAGATGTATCCCCAGAATCTGCTAATCTTAAACTAGGAGGCCGTTTTAAAAGTGCATCTACAGAGTCCAATGATTTTTCCTTATCTGTTGTCCTAAAAAGAGAAGAAAAAAAAAAAAAAAAAAAGAAAAAA